TTTTTTTTATATTAATATTTTATTATTATATTAATAATATTATTAATATTACTAATATTATTATATTATTAATATTATTTTATTATTTTTAATAATAATAATAATATTTTTTATTAATATTATTATTATGGATCTTCTTCCATGCGAACAACCAAACACAGTAATATAATATTCCTGGGAATTTAAAAAAGATTCATGTATGGAACCAAACACAATAATGTATTATTCCTATGAATCATATTACCCTCCATCACTTTCTTGGGAATATGATTCCTACTGATTCCCGCATACCAAACGCCCCCTTAGGGGTTGTTTTTTTGTATTTTTGAGTTAGGTATTTTTGAGTAAAGATCTTGAGTTAAATTTGAGTTATAACTTGAGTTGAAGTTATAATTTGAGTTTGTGTTTAATTGTGTACATTTGAGTTATGATTTGAGATAAGAATCTTTTTGAGTTTGTGTTTGAGTGAGTCAAAACTTAAATTGTATTTAGATAGTATCTAATAAAAACTCAATGGTGATGAAAAATTTTAATACGGTATATGGGTGGGGTTTTATTCGTCTTTTCATTGTCAACGCATAGAAAAAAAAATCATCTCAATCAGAATTAAAACGAAAAAGTTATGGCATTTTTAAGAATAGAAAAAAATACAGTTCATTAATTTGAGTTCGAGTTTCTGAACTTGAGTTGAAGGAGAAACTTGAACTCGAATTAGTCTTAAACTTAAGTTCAAACTTAAAAGACATATGAACTTGAATAAAATTGTAACTCGAGTTGCTTTTTTTTTTTGAGTTTTTGAGGCTACCGAACACACCCTTAGAATGAGGAATTAAAATCAAAATAAGTTATTTACTTAGTGATAAGACTCAGAATTGAAGGCATTTTAAATTTCATTTATGCATTTATTTACACCTAAAATATAATAAATCATTATAAAATTCAATTTTATATTTTTAATTTAAATAATAAATTTTCAACCCAGTTCCTAAACAAGGAAGGTTTTTTTTTTTTTTTGGTTTTTCTTGTTTTTTTATCTTCTCGCTAATGGCATCTTTGACCGAAATAACGTCAGTGTTGATGACAAAAACAATGTCGAATGTAATGATCTCGGTGCCCACGTTTTTTTAGCAATGAGGGTGTTGGGGACGAGATCCGATGGCGGTGACATGCGGCGGCTGAGCTGTCGATGTCAAGGATGGAGCGCGGTGGAGCTCTACTGGTATGCTAATGTCGACTATGGAGAAAGATCGAATGAGTGCGTTTAAAACTCGTTCTAAATGATTTTATTTTTTGTATGAAAATAAAAATAAAAACGTGTTCAATCTCAGACATAAATTATTTTTAAAAATACGTTTGGTAGTTTTATCAAGATATTATTTTGCAGTATAAAAAAAACACATTAATATATCTCTCTACTCAAGAGAGGAGAAAATAAAAACAAAAAATGAAAAACGACAAAAAAATCATTTTTCATTTCTCTCTCATTTTACACTAAACCAAAAAATTATTTTCATTTCTCTTTTTTATCTTTAATTGTGTTAAACGCCGTTTTGAAATCGTTTTCATTTTTTTTTTCAAAAAACGTGAACAATTCTAAACACATACATATATTTTTTGAATGAGTTTTGTTTGTTTTTTTTTTTTTTTTTTTTTTCATATTTTTTTTTAATGATTTTTTTTTTTTTTTTTTTTTTTTTTTTTTTTTTTTGATAATATATGTTGTAAAAATCACACCTGGATGGTCTTATTTTAGTTTAGTGCTCCTTTATGTCTTTTTACCTAGGATTCCAGTTTAATGGCTATAAATATTCACCCTACTGGTAGGGAAAGAATACATCCTCCTATCATAGGTTTTCTCAATAAGAAAAAATCAGGGATTTTGTTTCAAAATTTTCAGTTAACCAAAAAAAAAAAAAACAGCAATTGAAATTTTGTAACAAAACGTTTTAGGCATATTGTACTAATATTTTAGAACAATTTTGAAGTAAATTGAATTGAATTGAAGAGAAGAAAAACAAAAAGAAACTGCTCTCAAAATCTTTCTTGCACTGCCGCTGTTCTTCAAAAATCACTCTCAGCCGATTCAAGAGAAAAGACTTGTTTCTTTTTTTCTTTTTCCCTGGTTTTTTGCTTTTTTTGTGTGTTTTTGTTTTTGTTTATTTAATTACTTCTAACTTCTAATTTCTCAACGTAACTATTCTCCAACAACTCTAACAATCTCTATTGAGTAATTATATTTACACCCATCAAATTCATTAATATCCCCACCAATTTATAAATTATATTTATTACAATTTTAGGCTATTTAAAATTACATTAAACTCATTAACATATCCTCACATTAACTATAAATAAAAATAATATTTTTTAAAAAAACTAAAGAACATACACCCACATTAACTATAATTAGAAAGTATTTTTTAAAGAAATAAAAAATATCCCCACATCTTTAGTTAAAGCTAATTTCATCTTCATAAACCCTAAAATTTTCTCTATTAAATTCTTTAAAAATTTCAATATAAATTCCAATTGAAACAAAAACAACAGGAAGCATGTTAAATTTTTAAAGACTGATTTCTCCCCCTTATATGAGTGCTTTTGTCAAATGCTTCATGTAAAATTATTGCGATTGGTTTTGTCAATAACAGTCATTTTGTTCAGGTAATATTTCGTACTTCTATAACTTCATTTTTTTTTTTTTTTTTTTTTTTTAATAACATTTGGTTGCTTCTATGTTATAGAGGCATTGTTTTTTTCTTAACGGAAGTCATAAAAAAAACTACGAGGATAATGATTTTTTTTTTTTTAGAATTTACGAGGAAGATGATTGATAGATAAAAGTAAAAGGGACAAAAGTAATTTAAGAAATTGCAATAAATCTTAAAAAAGAAATATAACATTAATAGTTAAAAAGATATATTTTTTATAATTCAAGATTAAAATTAGGTGGGGGTATGAGAGGATTAAATTAAGTATTATGAAAATTTTATCTATAAAAGGGTAGATTTTTTATATTTTTGTTGTAAAAATATTAATTATTGGGGGTATTTATAAAATAAATTTTAAAGGTGTAAATATAACTGCTCATCTCTATTTTATTGATCCCAAAAACATTGGGCTGGTACTCATCAGATCCATATGGATTTGAGTTCCCCTTCTTTTGTTCAGACCCAAAATAACTTGATCCAAGTTTCCAACAATGCAAATTTGCTTTGGGCTTTCTTTGAATGTCCTCTCTTGCTTAAGTTTGACCATACGTTTGTTAACAGGTTTAATTAGTGAGCAAAACTTTTTTATTACAGTATTTTTTTCTCACAAAATTAAAATTTTTGTTTAAAATATTTTGTTCAAACCTATAAATCAAATGGGCTCTAAGCTTTCTTAGAAGTTAGAGCTAGAGTACAAATGTTGATATAAGTTAATTTTGAGAATATTGTTGAACTTATTCTTAAAAGTGTATGGATCTGAATTTTTACCTTTTATTTTTAATTAATATTTTTTTGACTAATATAGTTATATGACTAAAAAGGATATTAATCAAAATAAGAGGTAAAATCTAGATCCATACTTATATAAAAAAAAAAGAAGTTTAGATCAATGCACTTTAAAAAGTATTTGTCTCCTTTTTCAGTTGAATTTCCTAAGCAAATAAAACAATTTTAAAAAAGGGAATAAATGAGAATTTATTAAAAAAGAAAACCATCAATCGGATATTATTTTGAAGTGCTAGATTTTTTTTTTAGGTTCATAAATTCTACATATATTTGTTTCTTTCATCACATTTAACTTTTAGAAGCATGGTTTACCGTCTCCTGGAACTAGAAATGCCTTGCAACATTGCTCCCCAAGTAATTCTCTTTGTGAGAAATGTTAACGTCATTTTTTTTATTACTCTCTTTATTATTTTTTACATTTACTATTTGACACCTGTTCACTTCGTTGATTCGAGTTTATAATTTGAGTTGAGATATAATTTTATGTGAGAGCTTTTTACTGTAGCAAAAAAGTTAGATGTGATTGTTTCTAAAAACTTTTTACTGTAGCAAAACTCAAATTCTAAACTCGAATCGGTAAAGTGAACGGGGCATTTATTAATATAATATATTATTATTTAAATAAAAAATGAGATAATAAAATTCAAGTGTCAAACAGTAATCAGTTTCGTTCACTTCGCGGATTCGAATTTTCAATTCGAGATGAGATGTGACATTTTTTGAGAGCGTTTCACTGTAACAAAAAAAAAGTTAGATGTGACATTTTCTGAGAGCTTTTTACTGTAAAAACTTAAAATTAAAAACTCGAATCGGTGAAATGAACGATGCAAAAAGAGTGACATACAAAAAAGTTAGATGTGACTATTTCTGAGAGCTTTTTACTGTAGCAAAACTCAAATTCTAAACTCGAATCGGCGAAATGAACGAGACCATTATAATTTTTTTTTCCACAGTAGTCTATACCTATTTATCCTACATAGTGACGCTTTAGCACTTTTTTTTGTAGGCATAGGCTCATTCATTTCATAGCCACGAAGAATAAAATCAGTTTGCCTTTTCCATGTAGTATAATGGTAATGACGTGACAGAACAAAATCCCTTTAGTTTTTTTATTTTTTTATTTTATAAATTTCCTTTTACAGTATGTAAGAAAACTGAATGAAGGAAAGTCCACAAAGTATATATTTGATAGAAAAAGTTGAGAAAGGCACGAATGGGGCGGGTAATTGGCTATAGGTTTTGCCGTTAGATTTTATTGGGATACAATTCTCACTTTTAATAATTAATTCTCATGTTTAATAATTACAGGCACGATTAATATATGCCTTACTTATTTTTTTACACCAGCTGCTGCTGCATTGGAGGAAAAGTGAATTTTATTTTTTTATTTTTTTATTTTTATTTTTTGAAAAGTGCTTCGACTTTTTGAATGAAATTGCTTACGATTGAGGACACTGACTTGTTTTGTGTATTATTTCATTAAAAGCATGATTAAGCCCAATTATTAATCGGCACTCATAATTTTTGCAGTTGCTTTCTCTTGTCCTTAAGTACAGCACTAACTGATAATTAATTAATGTTCTTGTTTGGCACATGAATTAAACACCAAATTTGACTAATTTATGATTTATCCCTTGTCAATTGAATATAGCATGGGACAAATTTGGCTTATTTGTAAAACCAATTAATCATTGGCTGTAAATTTGTATCGAAGATAAATACAACAATAAATTTATATGAATAGCCCTAGAATTTTTTCCTCTCTTTAAAGTTAGTCTTATAGTTGATTAATTTTATCTTATAAATAGTTCCTGCAATTAAAAAATGTCTCATAAACGGTCACTTCATTAAATTTTATATTGAAATCATTAACCTTGTTTTATAAATTATGGAACAGTTCTGTATTAAAGGATAGTAAATTTTTTATAAACACATATACAGATCTAATTGTTAAATAAAACAAAAAAAAAAGTTACTAAAAAAAAAAATTGACTACCATAATGATTCCCAAATTATTATTTGATTGAAAATACACCACACCACAAACTTAAATAATGTAACCCTGAGGCCTTAAGTACTCATCATGATCTTTTGCATACACATGAGCTTCGTGCCTATTAATCGTCCACGTTCACGTTAAAATGTACAAAGTAATTTCATTGACAACCCAACATTCGATACTTCTCTCTCTAAAAAAAGAAAAAGGCACCATTTTTCTAACCACATGATTTTCCAATGGGAATTGTGGGCTTATTTGGTTCAACAACTTAAATTATAGTGATTTGAATTTTTTTTTATTGGAATTGTAAAATCTAAACTGTAGTAATTTAAATTGTGATTCGAACTGTTGTTTGGATGTACAAATAAATTATAATTTGAATTGAGAATAAAATCTGAACTATGTTTAAATAAAGTGTTGAAAACTGTTATTAGAGTTTTGTAACAAATCTTGTAAAACCTCATTATAAATAACATTAAAAAATATACAATATGGTGGGGATTTGTTCCTCTCTTCATTATGAACATATTAAAAAAAATCATCTCAATCAGAATTAAAAGGAAGAAGTTATGACATTTTTAATATTGAAATTGAAGAGAGAGAAAAAGCTGAATATGAAATTATTAGACTGTTGACAACAATTCAGATTGTTAGAATTTAGGGGGAATGTGAATTCTAAAATCAACAATTTGAGTTGTCCTTTAACCATTGTTAATCATTTTAATTATCCTTAAATTTTTCCTTCCAAACACCAGTTTGAATCCTAAACTAATGTTTGAATTCTAAAAAACAGTTTGAGTTTTTGAAACAACCAAAGGTTGTGATGCTTCAAATCATATCGTGTGACTCTTTATGCAAACTTATGTACACAAACAACTTAGGCCCCATTCGTTTCATCGATTCGAGTTTTGCCACAATAAAAAGCTCTCAGAAACAGTCACATTTAACTTTTTTACTACATTAAAAACTCTCACATAAAATCACATCTTAACTCAAATTAAAAACTCGAATCAGCGAACTAAACGGGCCCTTAGAGTTATTATTAGTTTTCTTTAGGTACGACTTATGAGCCTATTTGAATTGGCTTTTTAAAAAAGATGTTTTTCTTTATTTTATCTAAAAGCTATTTTTGAGGTTGTTTAGATAGACAACAATGAAAATGCTTTAACTTTTATAAGCTCTTGGAGATAATTTACTGCCTAAGTGCTTATGAAAAAAGAGCTCATGAAAATCTTTTCTAATTACATTTTTAAACAACAAAGTTAAAAATTCCATCTATATTCTTATTTTACTTTACTTTTTGTAACAATAAGAGTTTTTAACTTATTTGTAACAAAACATTTTTAAAAACTCTTCTCAAATAAGTAAGTTCTTAATTTCCCGTATATTATCCAAACACTAGTTAAAAAGCTCCGATTTGTATTTCACTTCCTCTACTGCTTAAAAAAAAAAAAAAAAAACACACACACACACACACAAACTCTCCTAAACTAGTTTTTATAGTAATTAATTTAGTTTATTTTCTCTTCTTTTAGTTTACCCTATTTATAATGTTTATTGTGTACATAAAATGTTGGTCTGCAAAAACACACTGAGATTCTCATTTCAAACACGAAACTAGGTACGTGCATTGCATCCACAAACATTTTGGGATACACCGACATACCGACACATTTCATAGTGGAGAGCTGATGGGAGATATCAAGAGACCAAATTAATGTGGCAATACTAGCAGTGACTAATTATTATCTGCCAAGACAAATCCACTCCATAATACAGTAGTCAATCTATATATAACAAAATATTTTTTTTTATTTTTTTTATTTTTTATTTTTTCATGTCTTTTAGCTGTTACCAGCTTCATTTTTTGATGCATGCATGATATATTCAATATTATTATTTTTTTTTAGTCAATTACAAATTCCTTTCTACCAATATTATTATAATGTATCAACTCGGAGATGACATTTCATAAGTAACTCTACTTTTTTGTATTTTAAAATCTATGACCACTATAGTTTTAAACATACAATCCACATATTTTCAGCTTGGACTTTCTCAATTGCAATTATAGGCTGTCGAGTTGTGTTTCTTTGCCATAAATCAAAGAAGAATTAGTAGGCACTGCATATGAAAGAGTATCCTTATAGTCCACATTACAACCAAATGTGAAATTCATCTTAATGTTTATTGCAAAAAGATAAATAATTTATGTGTGCATATATTTATACACACACACACACCAAATGTTGGTAGCAGGTATATCAGAGTATAAATTTGCACCAAATTTCAAGCCCAAATGACTACCAAAGATGAAAACCCGTAGCTTTAAAACCAAGTAGCCTAAGGAAAAAAAAAAAAAAAAAAAAAAAAAAAAAAACCCAAAGACCATAAAAAAAATTTAAAAAAAAAAAAAAAAAAGAAACCCAAGTAGCCTATACAAAATTTAAACAATAAAAAATTAAAATTAACTTATTTGGCAAAAACATATATACATATATTAGTTATCGGAATCCAAATGCCATACTTTTGTAAAGTGTGAAAGATTTTTCATAAGTTTCTTGCTTTCCGGAATCCAATAAATGCTAGAGAAAAGCTTCAAGTTAATGTATAGTTTGTGAGAAATTTTTTTTTTATGGTAAGGGTATTTTATCACTCATGTTTTGACCGTTAAATCGAGTCAAAATGTTATTAAGATGAAAAATTATGCAAAATTGATCTGGTAGTTCGAAACATAGCTTATTAATATATAGCGTAATTTTTCATATTAAGCAGTACTAGAATTCTCATAGATAATTATTATTATTATTTTTTTTTCAGAAGGTCATGTTTGTTTGCAATTTTGCAAGAAGCAACGATTAATACACGATTCTACTACGACAACACATCACACATGTAGTGTGTGTGCGTGTATATATCTATATATATATATATATTGTTCACTGTGGTTGTATACACGTACGTACAGTGCACTTCTCGCATATATAAAAAGGGACAACCATATGCCCCCTAGTCCCACATCGCCCCAAGAACCCATTTTGCTAAACCCACTAATAATTCCATTTCTATGCAATTCCACACTCTCCATTCCAAACCAACTTGATCATTATCTCAAGTTCAATGGATAGCTCATCCGTAGCCCCCATGTCAATCGACAATGGCCATATTGAAGAACACACCAATAAGGAGCTCTCAATTAGCTCAACCACCCGCCAGATCAAAGCCTCCAAGGGTGGCTGGAACGCTGCTATTTTCGTCATCCGTAAGCGCGCGTCCTCTAATCTTGAGTCATCTTAAAATTAAAACGAATTCTCTCGATTCTTTTTCTTTTTTTAAATTTAGGAGCACGAGATTTGAACTCTTCACCTTATAATGGAGTCAGTGGTAGAATTATCGCTAAACTATATTTACAACCACTTTTCTAGTGATTTTTCAATCGAACTAATTCATTTTTTTTTAAAAAAATGAATGGTTAGTCGTGGAAGTAGCCGACCGGTTCGCCTTCTATGGCCTAAGCGGAAACCTCATCATGTACCTCACCAACGTCCTTCACCAGCCAACAGTCACCGCCGCTAAGAACGTCAACATGTGGGTCGGTGTATCCTCCCTCTTCCCGTTGCTCGGTGCCCTCGTCGCCGACTCCTTCCTCGGCCGCTTCAAGACTATTCTCTTGTCGTCCATTGTTTATTTACTTGTACGTCCATCAACAATAAAAAAGTATAATACATATATTGTCACAGATAAAGCATGTTTTTTTTTTTTTTTCTTCTCATGATTCACGAGATGACTGAAAAAATTATATGAGCAGGGAATGGTGCTGCTGTGCTTTTCGGTGTCGGCGATTCCTGCGGGCTATCGGAAAGCGGTCTTCTTCGTGTCGCTTTATGTGTTATCGGTCGGCGAGGGCGGGCACAAGCCGTGCGTGCAGACCTTCGCCGCCGACCAGTTCGACGAGGACACGCCGGAGGAAAAAGAGGCTAAGAGCTCCTTCTTCAACTGGTGGTACTTAGGGATTGTTGCTGGAGCCGCGGCTGCCATTTTAGTGGTTATTTACATTCAGGTATGCTCAGTATATTTTTCCCAAATTCTTATGTAGGTCCCAACATTTTGCTTATATTTGTTAATTTCCTTGTTTCTATTTCTGATCAGATTAGAATAAACATTAATTTTTCCAGCAAGAGAATAGCTGTATTTCCGACACATATGTAACACATACTTCTTTACGTTTCTGCTTCTTGTTCTTTTCTGGCATATGCTCAGATTGGGAGTTTATTTAGTCTTGGGAACTTGGGGTTTGTTGTAACTGCTTTAGAGCAATAAATGCAATCCTCTTTTCTTAATATAATTACCTTACTAATAATAATAATAATAACACTAATAAAATCCTATTAATTCAAAGTGAAGCAAAAAATTACGAGGCATATGCATGTGATTAGTTTTACACACTGTTCCATGTGTAGCTTCAATTTCCTGACTATATGTGCTAAAAAGTTTTGCCGTTTGAATGGTTGACCATCATTTTTTGTTATAGGGGAAATTAACAAATGACCCTTTTTTAGCTGTTTTTTTTTTAATGAATGACCGAAGTTTTTATTTTTTATATAAATGACTAAACTTTTATTTCAAGAAATGGCTATTTTTACAGTAGTTTATCAGTTAAAAAAAGCATAATCAGTAACTGATAAATCGGTTCATCATCAATTTACTAATAGTTTATCATTGATGAATTAGTAACTTGTTGATTGAATTGATTAATTAACTACTATTTGGTATTAGTTAATTACTAACTGATATTGATTAATCATTAATAAATCATCCAGTTAATCAGTGATCAACCACTGAGTTAATCGTTAATCGAAAAACGGTCATTTCCTTAATTTTATAAAACTTCGGTCATTTACTCCCAAATCCCTTATTTTAGTGCATGACAATCATATTGTTATTGTCTTTAGACATAATGTACATGGAATTCTGATGTTGTTTAAATCTTTTTTTTTTTCAGGATAATGTTAGTTGGACTGTTGGTTTTGGGATGTTAGCCGGGGTGATAGGGGCGGCTCTCGTGCTATTTTTGCTCGGAACGAGGAGGTACCGGCGGCAGGTTCCTGTCGGGAGCCCCTTCACCGCGGTGGCGCAAGTGTTAGTGGCAGCAGCTCGAAAGTGGCGCGTGAAGGATAGTGGAAATAATTTAGGTGTTTTTTATGGTGACGAGAGGGTGCTGCTACATGGGCATCTAGTGGAGGCTCAGCCTGGTGCTCGGCACTTGACCCTTGCGAACAAATTCAGGTACGTGTCAATTCTAACAAAAGTTGCAACTTACGGTCAACAACTGCATTAACCCTGGTAGGCAAATATACTTATAAATTGAATAGGATATTATATTATATACAACATCCACACAAAGTTGCTCCAAGCGAGAGACCTTGTCATGTTGAGGAATGACGAGGACGTCGTGGTAGTCAGAAGGTGGGCCAAGTTCGAGTTGAGCCAAGACCTCCATGGACATATGAAATGGGGCCTAACTTGTCAGTTCGCACTTTGCCACCACTAAATAAAAGTACCTACCTAGACGATGGACTTCCACATAGACTTAGACCAGAAAGCGCCACAATATATATATATATATACATATATATATATACACATATATATATAATTATAGTTTTAATTCATGCTTAAGCCATTCCTCACAATATCAATATGTGTGTGTGTGTATAGCTTGAGTATACATAATTTAGTTTAGCCAAACAGCTAGAAACATATCTATAACAGAATTATTGGCCGTGTTTAAAATCGATCCCCTTTTTATTTTTCACGTTTTTTAAGAAAAAATAAAACCATTTTCAAAACAGCGTTTGGCGTGATAAAGATAAAAAATAGAAATGAAAACGATTTTTTAGTTTAGTGGAAATGAGAGAGAAATGAAAAACGAATTTTAATCATTTTTTATTTTTTGTTTTCATTTTCTCCTCTAGAGAGAGAGAAAGAGAGACATTAATTGTTTTTTTACACTGAAAATAATATCTTGATAAAACTATCAAACGCATTTTTAAAAATAATTTCCGTCTGAGATTAAAAACGTTTTCATTTTCATTTTCATACAAAAAATAAAATTATTTTAGAACGAGTTTCAAACGCGCCAATTATATTAACTACAATTATTTTTTAGCTAATTGTGGCTCGAGGGGCATAAATTAAGATGAGTTTATTAATGCAAAATGGACCTATATAAATATTGAAGTACCTCATGACAATAATGATCTAGTTCTAGCTTAGCTATCACGTGATTGTGTGGATCGGATCAAATTTCAAATTTTGTCTCGCTTTAGTGGTAATGCATGGCCACATACATTGTACTGTGTTGCGCACGATAATGCTGAACAATATTGCTCTCTGTCTGCAAGCTTATTTCTTGCTTGTAGTTAGAAAATTAATGGGGCCCATACTCTTCACTTACCACTTTACATCCACTTTATTATTATTACTATTTTTTTATTTTCCTTATTTGGTATTTTGGTGCCACCACTACAAGTCAACGTCATGATCTTTTGGAAAAAGAAATAAAGGGGGAAAAAAAAAAAAGTAAACGGTGATATATATTGTTTAGTCTAGGTATATTTTATCTTAGAAAATCAATGTGTTGACTTTGTGGTTGGCTGATAACCATCAAGTGAACTTAAGGACTAGAATCTAATTTGTCATAAAAAACTAAACTCCAAAACGTTTTAAATGCTCTGCAATAATGCTCAACCAAAAGCGTTAAACGCTTCCCCCATTCCCACACCCCTAAACAAACAAACAAACAAAAGCATTAAAATACAAAAGAAAAAATTAAAAAGAGCTATTCTATAGAGTATATACATTTGAGAGGCAAATTGGGTTAAAAAAAAATGAAGTTCACTCTCAAAACCATCCAATTCCCGCCTAAAAAGGCGGGGACACCATCGAAAAATCTTGTCGGCGCTTTTTCTATATAGTTATATCTGTCTCATATTCTATCACTTATATTTATCATTTGACAAAAATTTCAAGAATCTATAAACAAAACATGAGTTGAAATTCATCTTAAATTTTTAATGTTTGTGCAAAACAAATAAAATTTCAGTAAAAAGTACATAGTGAATGATAGTAGAATTAAGGTTAATACTAAATACATCTTAAGAGAAATATATATAATTGTTTAAGTTGTACATTACGGTGGGATTGCGACAGAGAAGGGACAAGAGGTTGTCCTCGTCTCCTTCTAAAATCTAATTCTAAGGCAGACTGGAATTAAAAGCCTAAATACTTATAAATACTTTTCATGAAAAATTACTAAATACTAAAATTACTTTAGTAAAAATATGAATTGTGGAAAGATATTGACAAAATAACCAATAAGACAACAAAATGAGACAGTAGATTTGTAGAGAGACATTTTGTTCATGTTCACCATTACTTATTATTGTTTGGTAACTTTCAACTGATTATAGTTTCAAATTATAATTAATTTTGACTAGGGAACCCTAGCAATCTTTGATTGATTAATATTTAGTGGTCAAAAAGAATTTGAATGACAGAGACGTTGTACTAATCCGAGTTGAAAAAATTGGCAGAGTTTTGGACAAAGCAACTTTAATTGACAACCATGACGGGTCATCAAGTCACACAAGAAATCCATGGAGGCTGTGCTCCGTACACCAAGTGGAAGAAGTCAAGCTTGTCATTCGACTGATTCCTATATGGTTAAGCTGCCTGATGTTCAACGTGGTCCAAGCCCAGCTCCACACCTTCTTCACCAAGCAAGGCAGCACAATGATCCGATCAATCGGGCCCCACTTCAAGCTTCCGCCGGCGTCGGTTCAAGGCCTCGTCGGCGTCACCATCCTCGTTACGGTCATGATCTACGACCGAGTCTTCGTCGCCGTGGCGCGGAAGGTCACGGGACACCCTTCCGGCATAACCACCCTGCAAAGAATCGGCTTCGGCCTATTCCTGTCTATACTCAACATGGTCGTTTCCGCAATTGTTGAGGCCAAAAGGGTCGACGTTGCGGCGAAACACGGTCTCTTGGACAGTCCTAAGGCACTACTTCCGATGAAAATCTGGTGGTTGTTCCCACAATACATGATTTGTGGATTGTCGGACACGTTTGCCGTGGTGGGACTCCAAGAGCTGTTTTATGCGGAAATGCCCAAGTCGATGAGGAGCTTGGGCGCGGCGGCTCATATAAGTATTTTGGGCGTTGGAAGCTTCATGAGTAGTTGGATAATTTCTATTGTTCAACTCATTAGCTATCGATTAACCGGGGAGGGATGGCTTAGGGACAATCTCAACCGTTCACATTTGGACTACTTTTACTGGGTGTTGGCTGGATTGAGCGCACTCAATTTGTGCGTTTATATTTGGGTCTCCAAGGGATTTGTCTACAAAGCAAATTATGGGGGTCGAGAAACAACTAGGGTGAATGATTCGGGATCTAAATGTATGAATGGAGAAGTATGATTAGATAACTATACCAAAAGGGAAAAAAAAAAAAAAAAAAAAAAAAAAAAAAAAAAAAAAAGAAAACTCCATGGATAAGCTAGGTGGTGGCTTTATTACATGTGGACTATCCTTCTCTTGTGCCATGCTACTGTTATGATCTAATTTTTGGTGTTAATTAGGTCCTACAACCCTTTTAAAATCTAGTTACTTATCTGCACCATGTTGATTAAGTTTTTCGTAAAAGTGGCTTTCCTCCAATTCAATACAAAGCAGCTAAATTTAGTTTCTAATCCAACAGAAGTTGATTGCCAAAATAATCTCCGCGTGTCCACCATAGAAAGTTTTAAAATTTAAATGAGAGAAAACTTTAGGAATAACACAAGAAGGGGGCATGTTAAAAAAAAAAAATTCTCACACTCTAATAAGACGACTTAATTTTTGCCACTATAAAGGACCGGTTAAAGGTAAACAATTTGTGTTTTCTCAGAATTGCCCATGACGGACACCAAGGAGTAATCTACTAGATAATAATCCGTAATCTATCAGATGTTGTCAGAATAAAAAATGACCTCTCACCGTAATCATCATCGTAGGCATCCGAGTAATCTACTAGATTAATATTAGTAATCTACCAGATTTTATCGTCTTTTCAACATAAATCACCGGTTGTCTCAATCGTCGGCGGCTTGCATGATCGGCAGAATAATCTAAGATATTAATACCAGTAAGCTACTAAACTAATTAACTAAATCCGGACATATTACTGATCGGCTGATGCCGTCTCCAAAATCAGTGGCAGAAATCTAAAGTCCATGTGCTATCATTGCCTAATTTTCTGTCAAATAAGCACACAAATTCTAATGTTGCTCAATACTAAAATTATATTTGGTCCTGTTAAACAAAGAATTAACAATCGTCCTCAATGGCTTTTTGCATTTGAAATTGTTAATGGTATTGTTATATAAAAGAAATTACTTTCTACATAAAAATAAACTCTTTTGCAGACAAGCATACAAGCAAAAAACTTACTCAAACATAAAGTTGAAGGAAGCATGACTCTGTGATATTATAAGCAGTTCAAGGAATGGCTCTTCCAAGTTTCCCATTAAAAGATTTCTCAAGTGGCGTCTAAATCACCTTCTTATATTGAAGGATTGTGTTTTCTTTACCACATAGGAACTGATTATCTTTTCTAAGTCTATAAATTGAAACTATAACTATAACTATAAACAAAACGAAGAGTAGATTTGTCAAACATAACTATTTCAATTGCAAGTGTCAGTGCAAAATTGAAGAGGGTTATAGAGTTTAGTTTATGGTAAGTACCCTATCAATGACTGTCATCTTCTAGACGGCACTGTGGTGGAGTCACTTGAAGATAAGTGGGGGCAGCCGTCTCCATTTAAATTTTTTTTTAAAAAATATACCTTTAAAAATTTTAAAATTTTACACATATATGCCTCAATTAAAATAAATGTATTTTTTTATATGTCCTCATTAAGATAATTTATTAAAAAAATTTAGTGTAAGTTTTTACTGAAGTGAAAGGCTGGTGCCTGCACATATGTATATTTGACTCATTTCCTCTCTTTAACTGCTTGTAGTTGTCAGTTTCTTCGCCTTCCATTTCTTCTTCAGCATTGTTTCGATTTCTTGAACTCCAGAATGACATCTTATCCAACAGTCGGCTAAATCCAGATTCATTTTTTCTGGCCAAAGTCAGGAGGAACAATACCAAAGTTTGACATGAATGGAGGTAGTCGAAAGAAACTCGATCGTTCTAATCCGATTGCATAGGGTCGCCTCCGGGTGAGCTCACTCTTAGATGGCTGTAAGTTGGACTGGTTCAGATCTAGAATTTGAGATCACAAGATTAACGTTTTAAGGACTGGCTCAAATTTTTAAAAAAGAGCCAACAAAAACACAGGGACATTGTGAGATCTAAACAAAAAACAAGAAAGTCTTTTTTTTTTTTTTTTTTTTTTTTTTTTTTTGAGAAAACATGAAAACATTCATCTAGTTAATGCTTGCCTTTTTTTTTTTTTTTCATTTTGTATTAAAAAAAGAGGAAAGAAAAGCAGAGAACATAAAGTTGTAACTAGTTCTAATCTTAAACTTATTACAGGTCTTACGTAATATAACACAAAAATCCTCTACGAATGAGTTTTAAGTTTGATTGTCTGACCCCATTTTGCATTTTATGGTTGAACTCGATCTACAATTTCATTGGTATATGAGATCAGACACAAAAAAAACTCAAAAAGCCACTAAAAAAGAAAGTTTGAAAGAAAGAGAATCGAAAAGGTTTTGTCAAGTTCATTTACGTGTGGTCACGAGTTAACTTCTAGACACAATATTATATAGTAATAAACTAATCGTATACGCTCCTTTAAACAAAATTAGGATAATAATTCTACACACGGCCAATACTGAGCAAATGACTAACCTGAAAACTATTTTGTTCTCTCTATTTTGTTCTTATCTCATTGTATTCTAGCTGAAATCCATACAAACGAATTACCTCAACTTTTCCACCGGTCATACTCTGCAAACAATCTACTAGACATTGAATGATGGATGAATCAATGTGGACTGTTAAAATTTAAAGTGCATTTGTTATGCTGAATCTAAAAGAAGTATTAACAATCCATATATTTTTTACTATTATCTAACACCTGAAAAGGCATTACACGGTACGACCAGATTTAACTAATTGTTTACGCAGTTTGTCCTTCTTTAAAAAAAAAATAACAAAAATCATAACTTTTAGAGTCCCAAAAATTCTAAGGATAATAAAGCAGAACTATATTATAATAGAGCTAAGTATACAGTACTTTACCAATAAATTACATGTTAGGAAATTTTATTTCCTATCATCTATTGTGGCAACATATAAATTGACAATTATATTATTACTATTTAAATTGATTGGATAAATTAAGTGGTCAATTTAGGAAAGTTCAATAAGTTTTTTAACTGAGTATGGACTAAATGGGTGGATATTAAATATTGACTCAATTAGGTTTAATGGGTGGTGCTTAATGGGACAATATATTGAGGAGCTTATGGTTATGGTCCCCAATACATCAAATCACATGGTAAGTTTTCACTCTTCCCTGTCACAAGATAAATCACTCATTCAGGAATCTTGTAATTTGACTGAGAAAGGCGATAATCCTAAGAACATGTTGTCAAAGAGATTTTCTGCTAGAGATTAAGGCTGCACCAATAGAGACGTGTATTTATTTTAACCTATTATCTTAACAATTTAGTCTGATGATACTGGATTTTAGGATTAAGGCCAACATTACATACAGTCAAAATTGTGAGCACGACCAACACAAATAAATTTGTTTTTTTTTTAATGGTTTGCTTCTTTTAAGAGACATAAGATAAACCGCACCTGAATTGAATGAGAGTTCCCCTTGATGGTATGAACAGCCCAGTTACTTGGTGACCAAGAAACGATCCATTCCCACATGAAAACTCCACCATGAATAACAACACCACCAATCTCCTCCTCAGTGACCGACGAGTGCAGCACCTCCTCCGTGCCTCCATTCCACACTAACAACACCACCAATCTCCTCCTCAGTGACCGACGAGTGCAGCACCTCCATTCCACATGGCAGCCTTGTAGAAGGTGATCAAGCCACTCGGCAGCATCAGGATGGCCGTGCTACATATTTCCAAATTCCTTCTTGCACTCGTTGCTTTCCAAGTGAAATACGGAGCCGGAGCTTTTGGATAAGGGAAATGTGTGGTACTATGATTTGAGTGTGCTAACATCATTTTTTTATCACTCTATTTATTAATATTTGTATTTATTATTTAACACGTAAATTTTATTATCTCATTTTATGTTTAAATAATAATATATAGAGTAGGCTAGAATTTATCTTATGTTTTTGTTGTTATTAGAACATAAATCAGGTCCGGGTCTTTTTTGTAATTCACTAGGCCTTGTAGAACTGTGCTATTCTTTAGCCTTGTATAGTTTACTCGTGTATTATTCTTTAGCCTTTTTTGGTATCATATGATTATAATGACTAATTTTGAAAACATTGGAAATTATTTTGATATCTTCTCAAAATATATAGTCATCAAATAAACAATAAATAATTTTTAGTACACAATGTTTATGAAATTCTCCATAACAATTTATTAGATATAAGAGAAATTATGAATAAATATTCTTTCAAGAAAACCTCATTTTTTTTACCGAACACTTTTTGGGTTTCGGAATTAGGTTGACATTTTCATCATCTTTAAAGGTTAAATTAAGTTAATTTAAGACATGATTTTAAGAAGTCGGAATTAAGTTAAATTAAGTTTTGTTAACGTTGAAAATTGTGGAAATAAATGAAGTATTGATTAGAGCATTGAAATAAAGGTTTATAGTTTAAGATTATTTCAGGCTTTTACATAAATTGAGATTTGAGAGGTGTTCATGTCGTAATTTCTGTTTATCAGACGATCTTGGTTTTAGCCTTTTCTTTTTGGTAAAAGCTACTTTTGTTTTCAACTTTACTACCATGTAGATTCGTGTTAAGTCGGGAAAAAAAAAAAATATATATATAT